ATGCAGAGATTAAACAGTATGAAGAGTGCGACACAACATCGGCAAAAAACTTCAGGTGAAAATTATGAAAACATGCATCTTTCCTGTGGCACTGTATAAGCAAGCACAAATAAGGGACTATTTTGAAATCTTTAAGAAAAAGGAACGAAGACTGGGACTTCTGAACTTCAATGTTGCATACAAGATGATGCTTAGAGTATCATGGACCAATAGTCTGACAAAATTAAATTTTTAAGGATCTGTATCGTTTCCCAAATAACTCAAATATTACAGCCACATTAGTCACCATAATAGCTAGAGAGACCAGTAATAGAAGGTATGGTTCCCAGAAAAAGAGGCAGGGGGCGAGCAGCATGACAAGAGAAACAGGAAACCAAGGGTAACCTGGGTATGACAAGTTCAAGAGACGGGAAAGTCAGCAATAAACCAAGTGGCTCCCTGGCCTGCTGTGATGAGAGCAATGTTCTGTGTGTAATGTTTCTGGACATTAAGAAGTAATTATAGCACCAAACAGTGAGCATTCAAGGAAAGAGGGTAGAATAGAAAAACTAAAGATGATAAAATCTCATCAACCGCTAAGCTAAGATGTTTTTATGACATCTAAACCACCTAGCCGAAGTGCAACACTAAAGTATATCAATACCTCAGGTTTTACAGACCCACACTTATCAGATAACAGAAGTAATGAACGCAATCTGCCCATCTGGTGTGTCATTCAAACAAATTAAAATAAACAAATCAAGTTTCAATTAATACATTTAGTGTAAACATATTTTCTACTTCTACACTGAATGCTGCGCCTGATTTTTTTTCACTATGGGGGTGGATCAAGCCACAAAACAAATGTGTGCCGGGCATTTCCATAATTTTCGAAGGGAAGGAAGCGAGGAAGGGGGAAAAAGGCCACTCAACCTACCTCATTGTGGACTAGAATATGTGTAAGCCTAACAATTCACATGCCAAAGGCAGTTTCTGCTTTACTTAGTATCACTCTATAACTTCTGAGAACAGTCTTATGACATGTCAAGGATGCACACAGCAGAGAATGGAGTTGAAGCAACAAAGAAATTCATAATTTGCGCAAATCATAAGCATCAGGAGGACTGACAGACTGTAACTGTCAAAGTATATTAGAGAGAATGGTAGATAATAGAAAAAAAAATTGTAGACAAAAGAAATAAATAGAAGTAGACTAGGAGGTAGATCAAGACAGTAGATAGATAATACACAGGCAGACCTACACTTGGAATCACCAATTAGAAATAGAAGGCCAGTCAAAGAGATGACACAGATCTATACAGCCCAAGAATTACTTCAATGTGCTGTATTCTCCCTACTCCTTCCACAAACACAGATCTATACAGCCCAAGAATTACTTCAATGTGCTGTATTCTCCCTACTCCTATCACCAACACAGATCTATACAGCCCAAGAATTACTTCAATGTGCTGTATTCTCCCTACTCCTACCACCAACACCGGTCTGTTTATTTGCAGCCGTTGGACCTTTTCGAGCTAAGTAACAGTTTCTACTGGGGACACAAGATTTGTATGTCCGATTGTCCTATACTAGGAGCAAATCGTCTGGCTATGTGATGTTAGGAACTGGTGGAGAACATTTTTTTGACTAGATATTTTTTAAAAGGCCATACAAAAGGGTAGATTCTCCGCAAATAAGTGGCACTAAGGTACACCCCACACAAAAATCAAAGGCAACTTATAGACATGAAATGCTTAATTATTTCTGGGCGAACTTAACAGATATATTAGCAATGCCTCTTGTTACATTATTTTTACGCTCCTTGTGAATATGCTATCAGAGGGCGTAACACAAATACATGCAGTACCACAAGTGTCCTGAGGGGAAGGGGATTTGTAAATATGCTATCAGCGAGCTAAGGTACTCTACCTACAGGTCCTATTCTCGAGGACATAAAAATAACCGCACTGCCAACAAAAACAAGCACTTCGCAAAAATCTGACTAATTAGACGTTTGCTGAAATGTGATGTCTTGTGCCGAAAAATGCAGATATCACAGCCTAGCTGTAAAACCACAACACAACATGTCAATCCCCCTTTTATGGACAAATGCAGAAACAGAATAAGTACTTTTATGTTGTGAACATAAAAATATTAATGACCTGGGAAAAAAATAGAGCAAATGTGTTATATGCAAAGTAGAAGGGCAAGATTCTTTACTTTAGAAAATTACCTGAAAGTTTACAAATACACAACCCACGCTGTAAAACCAACTATTTCTTTTAAAAAAAAAAGGCCACATTTTTTAAGACAACACTCACTGAAAAGTGAGTGCAGGGTGAGGGCAAAATATCTGTTTTGTGATGGCTAAGTGCCTTACAATTTTTAGGTTAAGTCACGAGAAGGGAAAAACTATAGTATGTAATGACAATGAGTTAAAGGGGAAATAGCCAAAGGGAGAAGATTTTACACAGTGTGGTATCAGAACCATAAAGGAACAGAAGACATGATTGACAGAACCCCCTGTGTGGGTTATGGGGCCTAATCGGGGGGATAGGGAATTAAACACACTGTCCCTTAATGAGCATGGAGAAAACGGCGACTAATTAAGGGTTTGCTGAAAGTGGGTTGAAATGATGCAGCTTCTGCAGCCTACAACATACTGCAAATGAACTTTTAAAAACAAACAAAGAAGAAGAGAACTCATAGCATATGTGACAGATGACTTCTCAGACATAATTGCTAACATCAAATGTTAAGGAATATATGAAGAACTGCATCATGTAATATTTTAGAAAATTAGAATCAGATCAAAACAAATTTTAAAAGGGTTTCAACAGGAACTAAATGTGGGAAAATATGACAGGATGGGTACAGGTGGCAAGGCATGGAGTCCCCAACAATCCAATTTTCCTTGGTGAAACTCCACTCTAAAAGGTCAAGTCACAGACCTGTCTTGGCAGTAATTTAGATAAAAACAGAGAAACACAGAGATATCCAAATAAGAAAAACAAAAAAGCAAGAGATATCATATAACTAGCAAATCTATGGAAGTCAAAGGAAATTAAAACTAGTTCCAAACTTAGAATATTTGGGTCTAATGTCAAATTAATACTTCTGGATGGAGCCGAAATCACGGAGAGCAAAGAAAAAAATGACTAATAAACTACAAAAACATTACCATTCCTGTGCGGAATGAAGGGAATTAAATGGTACAAAAGTCACTAATGCAGAGCTTTGAGAAAACAAAACAAATTCCAGTCAATAAAGAGGTTAGGAAAAGACGCTGGCACTGGATAGGACATACGGTAAGAAATCCTGCAAACAAAATCACTAGTGTCCCTGTAACGGTATCCGCAGTCTCAAAGAAGTAATGGCAGCGCCCCCCCACCCACACACACAAAACGGGTGAGGTGAAAACTCGGTGAAGAAACGTAGGTAGAACACGGGTGAGCTGTTTGTGGCGACAAAGAATAGGACGATCTGAGTACAGCCCTGGATACAGCTAAATACCACAGGCTGATAACAGTCTTGCATGGTACAAGCAAAAGACAATCAGTTGTATGTATGCTTTAAAAAAACTGAGTATGGAGAAGTGGGGCAAAGTGTCAGTCAATCTGCAGACCTGTGTAGGGTTCTAATCACACAGGGCTGGGAGTGCCCACAAGTGAGCAAAGGTTTCATCCGCTGCCCCACTGGTGAATAAACCCACTACCCACTTGACATGCATGTAAAAGGCAAACTAATTAGGGGTTTGTTAAAGTCAGACATGTTGGACTGAATGGAGAAGATATCACAGCCTAGCTGTAAACCACAATACAACATGCCAAAACCCCTTTTAAGGAAATATACAAAAAAAAAAAGATCCACATGCTCAGACCTTTTGAGCATATGATGCTGGCCTCATGTTATTATAGACCAATCAGTACTCATTTGGTGAAGCGACCAAAAATACATCAACTGCCTTTACTTCCCAGGAAATCTAGCACCCTTTAAGAGCAGACTGGGTTCACCTGATAAACATTTTACTCAATGGGGGTTCGAATCTAAGACAACCAGACAAGCAGTCAAGAGTGCTTGTCACTGTATACAACTAGGTGCCCATCTCTACAACAACATTCAAAATATAGATCAATAACAACAAACCAAAGATGTCAAGGCAGAAATATCAAAGAGGCAAAGTAAAGAGTAGCATCTCTAAAAAAATGAAACAAACACTAAAACAACAAAATCTATGCAACACATAGACAGATAACTAATTAAGCCAAGTGGTCACCAGTACAATCTATGCAAATTAGGTGAGCCTTTTCATAACACTGGTACACTAGACATATGGTGTCAGACCTATATTTTTTTACAGATCATTCTTCTTCTCTTCTTAGCATTCACCAGCTGTAAACTCTGGGGGAAAGTTTTGGCTGTTTGTCCACCTCTGGACTTTGGTCTTGTTCCAGAACTTTGAGTCTTGCAGATCTGGCTTATTTTTATGAAAACTGTCACTCTCTGTCCCTCACATTTCTGGCAGATGCATTCTTATGATTGTGAGAATGAAGACTTAGTTGTGGATCAGGCGAGGAGTGGCGTTTGGTAGGAAGAGAATGATTAGTGTATAATCAGTGTGCTTTGCAAACAGTTAACATCTACACCTTAAGACATCTGTTGTGGGAAATGGAGCACCTATAGGTATGCCTGGTGTGTTATGGTGTGATTCCTAAAACAATAATCTGACTTTGAAGGAAATTTTCAATATAACGTGTGTGTGATGTGGCTAACAACAGCTACTTTACTTCCGATGTCATTCCCTGGTATTAATCATTCTAGGCAGGGTTGAACTAAGCCAATTATAAAAATCTGCCCTTGCAGATTCAAACACAAGACAAGCATCTAGCCACTGCATTACCGGAACCACAGGTTAGCTTCCAACAATTTGACATGAAAGCTATAGATCAACAGTTATAAAACAAAACTGAGCTTTCTGGTAATAAAACATCAATACTTATGCATAAATGAAAGCATCTAACCTCTTTATCCTCAGCTTCAGCTTCCTCAGGCTGTGATCGATCATTTCTGTTCTTTCTCTTCTTTTTCCTTCCTTTCCTTTTATCCTCTCTCTCTAACTCAGAAGGCAGTGAGCTGGTCTCTCTACTAGGAACATCACCTTGCAGTGGCAGCGTGGGAGGCAAAGGCACCTGAGAAAGGTCTATTTCTTCAAATGGCACATCATCCCTTAAAAAACGGGGAAAACAAAAGTAATTTTTTTTACTTTTCATAAAAACTAATCAATACTTAATGTAAACACAATGTATTTTCTCCTCCTCACATACAATCCTTAAACAAATTTTAAAAAAAACATACAATGTCTATATTTTCAATAAAAACTGGTAGCATTAAAGTCACAGTTCACCTTGACCTTGATGCTAGAAACCTTAAAGGACAGTAAACATCTGAGAAAAAATTTTCATAAGCATACTGAATACAAGGAGCAGCCATAAGAACTGACAACCAAGGGGGAACAAATCATTAAAACAGAGATTTATTTACTTCCTACAGTGAAATAATAAGATCCAAACAAAGTATGTCAGGAATACCGCCTGGGGGGGGGGGGGGGGGGGGGGGGGGGGGGGGGGGGGGGGGGGGGGGGGGGTAAATAATGAGAACAACCTCCAATATGCTGACGATGTAGTTTTGATCATTAAAAATGAGCCATTTGATCACTGAAACTGAACCATATATATATATAAGTCAACTGTACATGGTTAAAAATAATAAATAAATATGCCAGCCTAATAGTCGAAAGCATGAAATGGAACTATATCAATATGAAAATAGAAAGATAATGTACACAAAATGAAAGCATATAAAAAAATTGTATACAAGCAGCAAATGCCAACTTACCACAAAATGAAAACAAGAAACATTAATAATCAACGACCAACAAACAAAAACCAGAAAGCTAAAAACGCTCACCAATATCCCCGAACAGACAAAGAAATACATATGTTGTACCTGCAGAGTTGCTAAATAAATATGTATTGAGATGAAACGTAGGGATGCACACACACAAAATATCATAAAACGAGAACCATTTTTATCAGAGATTTGAAAAAGGAAAAAATAAGAAGAGAGAAATTACACTTGATTAAAAAACACTGATACAATAAAAGAGAGACTGAAAACAAAGAAGTCATACTTGTACAAAGACGGTAACATGATCGCAATACTCATGGCAGACTAACATAGTTATCTAACTTTGAAACATGCTATCAGAGAAATAGGTAATAAGTTATGTAATAACAAATAGAACCCCAAGGTCAGGAAAATAATTTTTATCGAGCTGCCCCAAGAAATCACAAGCAATTGATTTTGAAGACTGAGAACAATTAGATTAACGAACCTAAACAAATTATCCCTCAAAATATACAAGACGGAATTCAAAATAAAAGTGATAAGGAAGCAGGAAAAGCTGGGGTGTGTGAAGCAGATCTGAGGCATCAGAAAAGCCACAATTTATTTAAAGATGCTAAGTGACAATGTAGACAATGCAAACGCTTGGTGTCACCAAGTGGAAAAAGAGAGCCAACCAGAGAGATGAATGAAGGTGTGTGATATTTGCAGCAATGAACCTCAAGGGCTCTGAATGCTGAAGAAGAAGAAGAAGAGGTGACAATGCAGAGATTACAAAAATATTTACTGTATGTTTCCTTCTTCGGCTGCTTACTGCCCAATGGAGCATCAATGAACTCAGACTAAGTCGTTCTATTCTTCACTATCGCATGCAGCTCACACCCATGTCCTCTATCTTTTTAACTTCACCCTCTGGTGCCCTTCTCCAGGTGTTGTTGGTCTACCTTTATTTCTATGCCCCACCCCCCCCCCCCCCCCCCCCCCCCCCCCCCCCCCCCCCCCCCCCCCCCCCCCCCCCCCCCCCGTGGATTCCAGTGCAAAGACATTCTAGCTATATGGTTCCCAGGTCAGGACCACCATGGCATTCCAGGAAATAAAAAGTAGATGAGTTTGCAAAGAACATCCTACAGCCCCCATCTTAACCCAGACCAGGGCTATTTAAATAAGTTTACTCAAGGATCTGCTGGCACCTGATTGATAGGCCTCTGAGGGCCACAGGTTGAATAGCTCTGCCTCAGACCATTAAAGAGGCAAAAACACACTTAAAATAATTTATGGAAATGAACTGGAGAGAGGGGAATGAAAGTGACAGTATGGGACACTTAAACTCAGTGCACATCTTACCTGTACAGCTTACACAGACTGACATATGCCGAAGTAGAGCACAAAGAGAAGAAATATGGCACACAGAAGCAACACTTTGACATACTGAGGCGCTGATGGAGACTTCGAGTGCATCACCTTATTTAAGACCCATGCCAGAAAACCTACACACAGAAGCATTTTTGAAGAAGGTTGAGAATTTCTGGACTGAACATCAATGAAAGCATAATCTAAGATAGACTGGTGACAGTGTTACTGGCTGACAGTGAGTAGCGATTATAAGATCTAGTGGAGCAAATAAATATGAGTGCCAATCAGTACCTTTTTTTTTTTTTTATTTATTGTATTAAAATTCAGACTAGAAAGCAGAGTGAATATAACTGAAGTAACTAAAATAACAGATATAACAAGCACAAAAATGGAACTTGCAAAAGGCAAGGTAAAACTGCAGAAATCCCCATGGAGAGATAAAATACCTGAAAAGATGATCAACATTTCACTACAAAGCAGTAAAGAACAAACAGAAGAGGATTACATAACATACAGGATAATAAGAAAAGAAGTAAATAGAACTATCAGAAAAGCAAAAAGAGATTCATGGGAAGAGTTTGGAAGCAAGCTGGCTGAAGAAGAAAGAACAGTAGTGAAAACTACTACAAAAAAATCAAAGGCATGAGAAACAGGAATGAAGAATACAACCCAACAGAAATTATAAATGATGAACTTGGCCAACCTTTAATAGAACCTACCAAAATTTTAGAAAGGTGAAGTAGTTACTTTGAAGCATTACTTAGCTGCAATAAAACAGTTAAAAGCAGGGAAGAACATAAAAACAACTCGGAACTAACAGCAGAGGAACTAGAACCAGGTATATTATTGGATGAAGTAAAATATGTCATTCGAACCGCCCCTAGACTAAAGGCGACAGGTATTGATGATCTACCAGCTGAGTCCATCAAGGCAGCAGGAGAAACCGGAGCAATATGGTTAAAGAGAATATTTCAGGTGGCATGGGAAAATCAAGAAACACCATTAGATTGGCAGACTGCTGTCTTTGTCCCGCTGTGGAAAAATAAAGGAAGTAAGAGGGAATGTACTAATTACAGAGGAATATCACTACTCAGTCACACTGGGAAAATGTATGCTAAGATCACTGAAAAAAGGCTGAGACCATTGATAGAGTATCAACTTTCAGAAGCACAGATGGCTTTCGACGAAACAGAAGTTGCACAGATGCCATTTATACATTGAGACAACTATCAGAGAGGGCAATAGAACATGATAAGACATGTTTGTTGACATTCATAGACCAAGAAAAAGCCTAGAGTCGACAGGAATATGTTGTGGGAATGTATGCGAAAAAAAGGAATCAGCAATCATCTCATTAATATTTGCAAAAGCCTGTACACAAGTAGTAAATGCTGCATAAGATCGAAGGCAGGGTTGTCAAGAACTTTTATAGTGAACTCTGGTGTGCGTCAGGGCTGTGTACTATCGCCGCTTCTTTTTACAACATACATGGATACTATATGTAGAGAAACGAACTTTAATCATGAAGAAGATATTACAGAATTACTCTGACCAGTTTTCCGTCGGATGTGAAAATTGCTCCCAAATACTTAAATTCCTCTGTTTGTTTTAAGGTGTTTTTTAATTTTATTTCTAAATTGTCTTTCAGTCTTCCTATTACCATTGTCTCTGTCTTCGTAGTGCTTATATTCATATTATATTCCTCCCCTTTGTTATTAATTTGATTTAGGTGGTTCTGTAGGCATTCCGTACTTTCTGCTATGAGTACCTGGTCGTCGGCGAATAGTAATTCTGTAATATCTTCTTCATGATTAAAGTTCGTTTCGTTACATATGGTATCCATGAATGTTATAAAAAGAAGCGGCGGTAGTACACAGCCCTGACGCACACCAGAGTTCACTATAAAAGTTCTTGACAATCCTGCCTTCTATCTTATGCAGCATTCACTTTGAGTGTACAGGTTTTTGCAAATATTGATGAGATGATTGCTGATTATCTTTTTTTCCCAGAATGCTGCAAGGCACATTATATACCTGGGTGTACACAAAAATAACAGCATGAGGGGTCATGTACTACCTTCTGGATTTTCCAGCCATGAAGGCTAGAACGCAAATTTGCAGAGTAGGTGCCTATCTCCGAGTCAATGCAGACACACAACGTAGTTAAATTAATATTTAAAAAGGGCAGTGGGTTAAAAAGAAAACAGTTATGGATGCCCCACACCAAGGACATTATTCGACAGGTGTGTTCATCAGAGGACACTGTTTCTAGGGCCCAACTGTGGGGAAAACAAAAATAGACCCCATGCCTCCCCAACGAGTAAGCTGAAGAAGCCGACTAATTGGGGACTTCCTTCGAAGCCAAGAGTAAATTTGCCGGAGCGGCAAGGAACAACCAACTGAACACAAATAACGGATGTACAAATAAAAATCCAAATAGACAAACAACCAGGACTTTCTTCTGGAGTTTACAGCTGGCGAACAGAGAAGAGGGGGAGAAGATTTGAGGACACAGAACTTGACAAGGAGTGGGCATAAGTGCCTAAAATGTGTTGTACGTTGTTTTCAGTGCGCACCTGACTAGAGAGAAAATGCAGATACCAAATTCTGACCGCTATGGAGGCAGAAGTTCAGGCTTTCAAGATTCAGATTTTTTAGAATTCTTTTGAGAGGGATGCTGTCTTTTAGACAGATTGGCTGTATTCTTCTTCTTCTTTGCATTTGATTTTGTATGCTCAGATCAGACTATTAGGTGGGTTGCCTCTATGAACTCGCATGTCAGCAACAGGTCTTTCATGGTTCCCCATAGCTTGCTCTGTACACTTTGCTCTTGAGGCCAGGCTTTTTTTCTCCAGAATGTGCTCAGGTGTAAAGTCTTTATTTTGTGCATGTGGTAGTTGAGCCAGCAGTGCCCTGTTCATGGGTGGGAAATTGTTGTATGTTGCTTTCTGTTGAGTCTGCTAATGGGTTCTTGTGCATGTTTAATCGTTTGCTTGTTCTCTCCACAATTACAATTGTATTTTTCCCTGATGAGTCTTTTGATTTCTGGAATGACAATGAATGGGTGTGTTGTTTCTCCTTTCTTCTATTTTTTGCAAGTCTGTCTGCTAGTCATTTCCTGGTAAGCCGCAGTGAGCCGGGATTCACTGGAGAACCATTTGAATATTTTCTGTTTAACTTGAGGGTCAGTTCTCTCTCCATGTCTCACTGATCCCTCTGAGTTGGCTGGAGGACTGACACAGTCACAAAGAAAAAAAATTTTGCTGTTTTTAATTTTTCTTTCCTCAAGCACTTTGGTTGCATCAATATTAAACAACTGCTTGCTGCTCTGCAGTTTTTTGACATCTTCCAGATCTGCATGATGTTTTGTGGCATGATGACCGATCCTGCTCCGCAGGTTGTTTTTTTCCTACTCCGTTGAATGATCCATCGGTGTAAATGTGTGTCTATTTGGGTTTTGGGTGAGAGTTGTAGACATGTTCAAGGGTCTTTGCATGCAATACTAGGTCACATTCTTCAGCCTTTATGTTTATGCCTGGGATTGTTGTTGTGACTATGCTGTATGCCTGCATCATTTCAACATTGAAGGGTCTTTAGAAATGATGTCACTGTTTTTGGTGTAGTACAGTTATGACAGATGGTAGAAGCTTTGTCTTTTCAGTCAGTTTTTAGCTAAGCTGTTTGCTATTCTGTTATTCATGCGATTAAGTTTTTTTGTGTTAAGGTAAGCACCTTTTTTTTCCTTTTGCTGGCTCAAGCTTTGTATGCCAGAAGTTGCCTCCAGCCCACTGATTGATGTGCTTCTCACACCTTCAGTGATGAATCTGAGACCAGTGTTCTGTATTGTGTCCAGTTTGTATAGATTTGATTTGGCTGCAGTGGAATGTGAAGTAAGATTCTTGTGCTTTTGCCCCTGACAAATTAGTCGGACTATGAAGGTCATGAAAGAAGCTAAAGCAATAACCAGGAGGGAGACCTTCACTCCAACATGCCTTCTCTGTGACCCAATGAGTATGCTCGGGAAGATAAAGATGAACTAGGCGCAAAGATAGTGGCTGTAGTCTCTAAAACAGTCATGGCTGAAAAAGATCAGTCATTTTTTTGCTTGAGTATGAAAGGTAAAGGGAAATTAATAAGCTAAGATGCTTGAAAGTAAGGTTTATTTGGAGTGCAAACGAGCAACTGATCACCCTGCTATATTTAATGTTTTATGAGACCTAAGATGTTTGCAAGAACGAAGTGATGACTGTGAGTCTCCAACCATGATCAGACTGCAAGAACAGCAAGTGAAAAGGGGGAAAGGCCAGAAGAGCACTATGCAGAAATTCAAAAAAGAATAAAAAACTAAAAAGAACAAGTGTTGTCTGCCGTTACACTACACGCTGTGGGATTTACTGAGGAGGGGATAAGAGCTACTTATGGACTGAATGATTCAAAATGCAATGAGGATTATCTATCGACCACCTAGCCATTGGAAAGGAGCAGTGAGACTAGTAAACAGATGCCAAAGGTTAATACCACATCTGTCTGTGACAGACGACAGCAAGAACAATATAATCTTTGGCATGACAATGAAATGCTTGGTGACTTGTTTTGTACTGAGATGAGAGAGTTATTTATATATTATTATATATATAATATATATATATAAATCAATGATCTGTAATTTATACTCTTCACTGCACTAGAACTGCAGACAAAATTAAAATGACATCTGACTGTATGATGACCCAGCTTATTCAAAACTTTATTATCAGTAAATTTATTCTTGAAAAACCTTTCACTATTTAAAAAAAAATGCAACGGATAACTTTGTTGAGGAAGAGTGACAGACTGAAAATTAATGTCCATGAGATTCTTGCACGAAAGGACAATTATTATTACGGTAAACTCTGTAAGAATGGTAGATAACGAAGCTAATGACCAATTTAACATTCAATTTTCTAGTAGAAGAATCATAAATTTTTTCCCCCCCCCCCCCCCCAAATTACTACAACCATCCATCCTCTAAAACTATCCACTTTTTACTAGTGTAGAATCAGTCATTTTTTACTAGAACCATACATCTACTAGAAATATACACTAAAAGTATTCACATTCTAGCAAAAACATACATCTTGTAGAAACATCACTAAACTATCAATGTTCTAAAAAACAATACAAATACTCAAAACATAACTAAAATTATACAATTTCTATCTACTGTCTTTCTGTGCTTAATACTGTTAGGCGTCGCAGGAAAGACTAATAAATGGTTTTAATGACAGTACGTGTTTGTCAGCTTGCTGCACGGTTAACACAGTTGAGTGTCAGCAAGTTGCTAATTACATCTAGAAAGTATCCTCTAATTTTGTTTATGTTACCATTCTCATTTACCCTCTTGCAATCAGTGATGCTGGGTTTATTCTCACCAGCTGACAAAAGCATTTCAGCCGTTTTTCCCCCCCAAAAAAAATCTAACTGTGGCGGTGTTGTTCCCACTATTCAAATGATATCTTTAGTTGTCTTTTCAGGGCCAACCATCTAATACTGTAGAATCATATCTCCTACAACTAGAAGCATCTACAAAAACTACCCACATTCTACTACTGTTAAAAAATCTCCTCCCACTACCAGAACAGTCTACAAAAACTACCCACCTTCTACTACTGTCGAATCATCTCAGCGCCCACTACCAGAACTGTCTTCAAAAACTACCCTCCTTTTACTACCGTAAAATCATCTTATCTGCTACTACTAGAACGGCCACAAAAAATACTGTAGAGTCATCTCATCTCCCACTACTAGAACCATCTATAAAAACTACCACCTTCTACTACTGTCAAATCATCTCATCTACTACTAGAACTGTCTTCAAAAACTACCAACCTTCTACTACTGTATAATCAACTCAAACTACTAGAACCATGTTTTAAAAAAACTACCTAACTTCTACTACTGTTGAATCACCTAATCTCCCACTACTAGAACCGTCTACAAAAACTACTGCAGAATCATCTCATCTATTATTAAAACCATCTATAAAAACTACCACCTTCTACTACCGTAGAATCATCTCATCTCCTACTACTAGAACCATCTACAAAACTTACTGTAGAATCATCTTCTACAATAAGAACCATCTACAAAAACTACTGATCTACTACTGTCGAATCATCTTATCTTCCACTACTAGAACCGTCTATAAAAACTACAAACCTTCTGTTACCGTTATATCATCTCATCTCCCACTAGCATAGCCATCTACAAAAATTATCCACCTTATACTACTATCGAATCATCTCATCTCCCACTAATAGAACTGCAGTCCGTACAATACCACCTCAAAAACTACCCACCTTTTACCACTGGCTGTAGTACTGCGGAAACAAGCAGCTTTAAACAGAACCATTCATTTAATTGAAATATCTATAAAAAATATCCACCTTTTAATTTTATTGTAAAACATCCCATCTTCTATTTACAATTTATAACTGTATATCTTCTACTAGTACAAGAAACTTCTAGTAAAATTATCTACTTTGTTCCTGTATTGCTGTATAATTTACTGATCTATCATCTAATTTTAACAATTTACATTTTTTGTCTACTAACTAAACAAGCAAAATTTACAACTCTTCATCTTTCTTACAGTTAGAAAAAAACCCCCATCTAATAATAATTCATAGAAATAATATTACTATAAAACCTAACTAACTTAAAACTATCCATCTTCTACTAGACCAAATGATCTTATTATTTATAATGAGTGTGCCTGAACTATTTGACTCTAATTTCCACAACTTGACAAGCCAGTCAATAACGCTTTTTAAATGCTTACTTATAACTTATACTTTCATTCACGTCTCACTGATTCACATATGGAAAAAAATTAGCATGAACTACAACATGCATTTCATTCCTCTAATGTAATTCTTGTTTTCAAAACTATACTCAATACATGTGTGGAATGAAGGCGAGTGACTATTTGTGTAGTAAACAACTAAACAAATGAAACATAAGGCAGCTGAGCCTTCGGGTTTCAGTTTCTTAACAGAACAAGACAAGTCAATACAACCAACATCGAGTGTGTAACGCCGATGCCGATGCACTGTAACGGACTTTTCAACGAAAGACAAATTTAAATAAACTCACTCTGTTGGACAGGCAGGATCATAAACATCCATCTTGTAATCACACTCCAAGTAATCTTGTCAAATGTGTTCTCATTCCCTGCTCCTTCTCCGCCAGATTCAACTCTACAACTACAAACCAGGCTTCTTCTGGCTCCTCTCAGCCGTCGTCATGTTGATCGGTTTTGTGCTGTAGAATAAGAGAAGTGTTCTATTAGTTCAAGTTACTAGACGGCCTCTCCTCGAGACGACGTCACATTTCTGCTCATTTACAAGGCAATAAATTAACTAAATATGATAAATAAATCTGGGAGGTGTTAAATTACACTGTGGTTTGTGAAAATAAATCCGTGTCCGTGGAAAAACGGCAGATATATGTGAAAACTTGTGGAGCTAGGTCTGCACACTTGTCTCTCAAACCGTGGACCACACGACAACTTGACCTACATCCACTCCTAGCCTCTAACCCTTACAACATATGGAGGTTTATTTTGTTCAAGGAGGCAAAAAGTTTTTTAAAAATTAAAATTTTAAGATTTTACTTGTCTGTTCATTATTTTAAAAGTATTTTAGATGTAATGTGGTAAAAATATATTCATTTAATTTTACTATTGTGCGTAAAATGGTATGGAGTGTCTAATAACCAAAACATAACAAATACACCAGGGTTCATCTGGGTACAGCATTGATATCACAGCGTTCAGTAAAAGTAAGTAAAGGACCCTTTTCCAAGCCTTTAAGTGTATAGGGCTAGACCTATATTTTATAGACCAATCAGCACAAGATGGGTGATGTCAGCATCACGCTGGCCACCTTTACTTCCCGGACTGCACCCTGTACCCACTCAAGGCTAGGTCGATCTCGGGGCCAAGCACAGCGTTCAGGACAACCCCATATTAGCTCCATAAATCCACAACCCCCTTTTTTCAACAGCCAGCGAAGAGTTTTCATACTAGTGGTATCCGTTGTCATCTAGTTATTATTTTGTCTTCCCTTCCCCACCCTCACCCCCACCCCGAGTCTCGGGAGCCCGCAGACATTCTCTATTGCATCATTCTCTCCAGGTACGGGTTTTAAATATTTTCAATTTCTTTTGTTACCTCGTCCCACTTGCGAGAGATCAGCTCTGCTGTATGCATTTACAGTACACTCCCAGGTGGGGACCAGTACAGCCAGGCTATCTGCACGTTTATTCCCACATACGCCTACATTGGCCGGATTTATTTTCACAATCTTCCTTGACTGACTGAATGGTAGCTTTTCGCCATCAAGTGACCATGAAACAATCATCGTATGCTGAAATGCAATCCAAAAGGACAATCCCAGATACCCAGATAACTTCTTCTGTCCTCATCTGACCGTTATCTCCGAAAAGAGCATATTCCCTCAACCAAATCACGTCTCGTCCTATCTTTTTTCTTCGCATGCAGCTCACTTCATGTTCTCCCCATCCATTTTTACTTTACTCCCAGCTTCCAATTATATATGTTTTGGTCTGCCTTTGTTCCTATGGGGACTAAGCCTTGTTTAGGTGTGCAGTGATTATTATTACTAGTATTCCTTTGTCGGTCCCATATAACTACAGAGCTGTGCCTCTGGGCAGGCGCCTTACAGCGAATATATAGTCCGATGCGAGTGACAGTCTATGTCACAATTTGTAAGATAAGGCAGATCCTACGAACAAATATTATAGAATTTTATTTTGTTCTACATTTCCCGTGTGGGATCTTGACCCCATCGTGGGGAAAACAAGAATAGGCTCACTGTCTCCATAACAAGTATGTCGTAAAAGTTGACTAGCTGGGGACTTCCTTTGAAGTCAGCGGGAATCTGTCTGAGAGGCAAAGAGCTATCATTCTGCATACAATTAATCCATATATGTAAAACGGAAATAAACTCAACACTCAGGTTTTGGAATAAGATTAAAGTCCGGAGGTGGACGAACAACCAAAATTTTTTGCCAGTTTAGAGCCGGTGAAAGAAGAAAAGTCCAACCTCTTCTAGCAGAGCGTTGGTTACAGTGAAAATCTTGGATTTTGTGCTAGTTAGTTTTATATTTCTTCTTTGTGACAAACAGTTGTGTCTAATTTTTCTATGCCACCCATGCCTGCCGAAGTCCCTATCGGAGAGGTTTCCACGGCTTGTGAAGAGGAAGGAGATTGTGATCCTGATAAGGACTAGTCTTTAGTCTTTTAATTTCTTTTGACCTCCACAAATTCCCCAGTGCTATGAAAGCTCCTCTTGCCTTTTGTATTCTTATTTTAATATCTCTATCAGTTCCTCCATCTGTATCTACATTACTGCCCAAATGGGTGTTTGACTCCACGTCCTGTTTTTATTTGACTTCTGGAGGTTCTTATCAGTCTGGAACAGTGGACATGTATTAATTAAATGAGTCTCTGGCAATATCGACAGATGTCTGTTTTGCTGTTTCATGTTGCTCTGGCATTCCAGACCGTTTAGCACCGAAAGTATTTGGTGACTGAAAACTAATAGTCATCTGCCTTGATGATTTTTCTCTGTGTAGCTTTTCCAGTAAGTCTTCGTTGATTATCTGTGCATTGATCCGTTTTATTATCCGTGTCATCAGCCATCATTGGAGGCACTGTAGGAGACTGACCACGACTGTAATTTGTATTGAGCTAGCTAAAGTTCACTCCTCTTGTTGTGCTCCTTCATTTTGTGTACTACTACTACTACTACTACTACTACTACTACTACTACTACTACTACTACTACTACTACTACTGCTACTACTACTGCTGCTGCTGCTGCTGCTGCTGCTGCTACTACTACTACTACTACTACGACTACCACGACTACTTCTACTACTACTACTACTGCTACTACTACTACTACTGCTACTACTACTACTACTGCTACTACTACTGCTACTACTACTACTACTACTACTACTACTGCTGCTACTGCTGCTACTACTACTACTACTACTACTACTACTACTACTACTACTACTACTACTACTACTACTACTGCTGCTGCTGCTACTGCTGCTGCTGCTGCTGCTGCTACTACTACTACTACCACTACTACTACTACTACTGCTGCTACTACTACAACTACTACTACCCGACAACTCTTATCAAGCGTGACAACACTAGAAGATATTCATTCCTTGCCAGGGTGAATGTCTGTGAGACCGAAGACCTGCTTGACATCATCATCTGCCCTACACAACCCCGTTTTGCCTCTCCTTAGTCTGTTATCTTTTGTTTTCTTTTTCTGAAGAGCGTATGGTGCAGAGGGTGTTCCAGATCTGAGTTTATCTTTAGGTTTCTTCTTCTGCCTTTCTATCCCCCAGTGGAGCATAGGCCCTCAACCAACTCACGCCAAGTCGTTCTATCCTTCGCCATTAAATGGAGCTCTCCCAATCTTTCTAGCTTCATTCTCCAGCTCTCTTCTCTGTGTGTTTTTTTTTTTTTTTTTTGGGGGGGGGCCTCCCTTTATTCATATGCCCCTGTGGGTTCTAATGCAAAGACATTCTAGTTACGCTGTTCTCCTGTTTTATTAGTGTGTGTACTATCCAACGCCAGCGTCTTTTCCTCACCTCTTGGTCCACAGGAGCCTGTTTAGTTCTCTCCAAAGCTCTACATTAGTTATTCTATCATACCATTTAATTCCCTCTATTCTGCGCAGGCACCAGTTAATGAAAGTCTGTAATTTATTTGTAATTGCCTTAGTTGTTCTCCATGTTTCCGCCTCATTCAAAAGTCCTGATTTGCCATTAGAATTAACAATTGTTAGTACAGTATTTCTTTTAATTTCGTTTGACCTCCACAAATTCCCTAGTGCCATGAAAAGTGCCATGAAAGCCCCTCATGCCTTTTGTGTTCTTATTTTAATATCTCTATCAGTTCCTCCGTCTTTATCTACATTACTGCCTAAATAGGTGTATGACTCCATGTCTTGGAGTGGGGTGCCATTAAGAAAAACTCCATTACTTTTTGCCTGATTAATTCTCATTATCTTTGTCTTTCTTTTAAAGATTTTTTTAATCTTGCATCTGATTCCGTGAATGGGACAGAAGAAAAATATCATCAGCGAAGTCCAGATCATCAAGCTGTTTTGTAGGGGTCCACTTAATTCCATTCTTGGTGTTAGCAGTTACTGTTTTCATAATCCAGTCTATGGCCAGTTAAATAAGAGAGGCGACAAAAGACATCCCTGTCGCACGCCTGTTTTTATTTCAAATGTATCTTTTAGCTTTCCCTTATGAAGAACTCGACATTTCATGTCTTTATATGTTGCCTTTACTAAGTTAATAATTTTCTGTGGGATTCCATAGTGCCCCATCAATTTCCAGAGAGATTCCCTATCAATGCTGTCAAATGCTTTTTCAGTCTTTAAATCTAATGTAAAGTGGTGAGCTTTGCTCTATTATAATACGTAATGTGGCTATCTGGTCAGTACAAGATCTGTTTGACCGAAAACCTGTCTGTTCATCTCTTAGCTTTTTATCAATAGAATCCTTTAATCTTTCCAAAATAATTCTACTTAATATTTTTCCAGGAACTGACAGCAACATAATTCCTCTATAGTTTTCACACTCCTATAGATCACCTTTTTTGGGCAGTTTTACAAGATATCCTTCTCTCCATTCTGCTGGTATTTTGTTGTCTCCCATACTTTACTGAATAATCTATGTAGCAATTCTGTTGATGTGTTCATGTTGGCCCTAATGGCTTCAGCTGGGATACATCTGGGCCTGCCGCTTTTCCTTCCTTGAGAAGATTGATAGCTTTTCTTATTTCCTCTTTAGATGGTATCTCACAGTTGATATCCAGTTCCATTTCTAAAGGCTGGATATCTGGGGGAACCTCTGGACCTGGTCTATTTAAAAGCATTTCACAATATTCAACCCATCTGTCCATTTGATCTTTAGTGTTAGTAAGTACCTTTCCTTGACTATTTTTGATTGATCCAGTTGGCTGACTATATTTACCTACTAATTTTCTTGTGTTACTGTAAAGTTCTCTGAGGTTTCCTTTTGTTGCTGCTGTCTCCGCTTCTTGTGCTAGATCATTTAGTTATTT